AGCCCATGGCAACCCACTGCCATAGGGGCTGCAGCCTACGCCATCGCCGGAGACTCAAGGCAACCCAGCTCCAGGTTGAGCTGTTGTTCAGCATCTTAGCTGTAGAGGGCAGTGTCACTGGCCCTCATATGTGGGATCCAAACTGGGCCCTCTGGCGTGCCAAGCCAGCTCTTAACTAACGCGCCACTCTGCCGGCCCTCCAATATTTTCTTAAATCAGGCAGTTTAGCCCAGTGTTACCTGTTTTAAAAGCCTTTATTTAAGAAACCTTAAGAAAAGTAAATTACGACCTGTTAAATCTATAAATTAAGGGGTGATTGCCAGTTTACTTGCAAAACAGTTGACATAGGGTTCTTTCATTAAGAGTTTCTCTGATACACATAAGCGCTTGTTTGCTGAAAACAAAGAGATCTGAGCCTAAATTGTTAGGTTCTGATCGTTGAAAATCAATCAGTAATAAAGAAGCATCATCCCTGAAAGGATAATCTGTCATTGGGCACATAATTGAATTTAACTAAGAAATGGATTCATATATAGATTCTGAGGTAATATACTTGGCAAGTGCAAGATGTAATGCATTTCACCAGACAACCTGAACAGGGACGTTTTCTCTTGATTAGGCTTTCCATAAATGACTGGGGAATATTGAAAATGTTTACATAATTTCCATAAGCATATAGGGTATGTGGAGATAGTTCAGGATTCAGGCAAACATACTTCCCTTCTGCAACAGCAGGGACCAAATTATCATCTTTTAGAGAACCACTTTACTAGGAATGTTCATTCGTATGTGGTCTGAATGGGAGATTTTTTCCTTTTAGGTGAAATTTTCTGAAACTTAGTTTCTTAACCAATAATTTAAAAAGGGGGAGGGGAGAGTCATATTTCTAGAATGGGCAGAAATTCTAGAAAAGTTTGTCTTCTTACCAGTTCCAGACTGATGGTGTCCATCTTCTAATGACCCCAAATAATGAATTTTTAAATAATTTTTTTTCTTACACAAGTAGTACATATCTGATGTAGAAAATATGGAGAATATAGATAAGCAAAAAAGAAGAAAGTGAAAATTACCTGTAATTCCAACCCCTTAAAACAATCATTGTTAACATTTTGAAATGTGTACTTTCAGTCTTTTTTAAATGTACATAATGCTTTTGTGACAAAAATGATTTCATATAATATGTATAATTTTTCTGCCTCCTCTTTTTTTATTTAATAATATACCGAGGGCATTTCTCTATAGTGTTAAATCATTTTTTTTTTTAAGATTTTTATTGGGGAATTAGGGGGATAGGAACAGTGCTGGGGATTTGGGGGAAGGGGAACAGACAAGTTGCTGTCGTTTTGTTCTTCAATCTAGTTGTGGAGGATGTCGCTTCACTGGCCCAAGTTGGCACCATCATCGCGCTCTTCCCAGGTGAGGCAGATCAGTCGCCGGCTTCTGGACGGCCGCTCACTGCGGCTGCTGGCCGCTCACGCTGGCTGCTGGCTACACAAGGTAGCCCATGGCAACCCACTGCCACAGGGGCTGCAGCCTACGCCGTCGCCTGCGACTCCCGGCAGCCCAGCTCCAGGTTGAGCTGTTGTTCAGCATCTTAGCTGTAGAGGGCAGTGTCACTGGCCCTCATATGTGGGATCCGAACTGGGGCCCTCTGGCATCCCAAGCGAGTTCTTAACCATCGCGCCACTCGGCCGGCCCTTAAATCATTTTTAACATCCCCGAAGTTACATCATTTTTAATGGTTGTATACTACTATCAGTCCCCTGGGTTGCTTTCAATTTTTCACTATTATGAACAAGGCGGTAATGAGTATCTTTGTTATTAAACCGTTCTTCGCATCCATAAAATTTATATCTCTTTGAAAGCACAGAGTCACACAGTTTCAGCCCCTCTCTTAACATTGAGCTAATTAAAGATAAAGAATGATTTCTGTTGGGATTCACTAGAACAAAGAAACTAAAATACCTTTGTTTTTGTTTTCCAAATTACTGTCATGCCAGCGAGGGGAAGGGGAGGGTGGAAGGAAAGTATCTAATGAACATTTGTATAGAGAAAATTTTTAAATTTTAAACTTTTAGCTTAAAATGACCTCAGTATTTATTCCAAATATGTTGGTGTTTAAGAAATTGTGATAACCAGCCATTGAAATTAAAGTGATTGTATTGAAAGAATGTGTTATTATTGTTAACTAAGGTGCATTTGTTCTAATCACAAAGCAGCATCTCTTTATTGCTTCCAGTCACCTGGATTTTCTGAAAGAAAAGCATGCTCTTTGCCTGGCCAGACTGCTGCTTTGCTTTCTTGATACTTACATTGCTATGGACAGCATTCTTGATTGACAGTTTCAGGGTGTGGGTGGGTTCATCAGCTAAATAACTATAGCCCAGGTCTGAACTTCCAGCCACCCTCCATCTTGGCCCCAGACCACAGTGAATTAAATCATGAACTTCTGGCAAGCCTGCCCTTTGGGAATGAAGAGAATCTCACATGACACCCATAGACTGATATAAAAAGACACCAAACCACATGGTGCAGAAAATACCTAAGGAACAATTCCAGCTGGGACTACCCACTTTAAATCCCCACCAAGATAATTAGTGATCTAAGGCACAGGCTGGTCAGTTAACCAATTGCTCAGCATTCCTTCATTGTAATGAAGCATGAAGTTAAATTCTGCCATGAGAACAATGGAAGAATTCCCATCTGGGAAAATTTTTGATAAAATGTAGTAAAAACAAAAACAAAAACAAAAACAAAGAGTAGGGTGGGAGTAGGGGATAAAACAACAAAAGTATTTAAAGTGAGACTAATTATTATTTTTATGCTTTTCACATACTGAAGATGGATGGGTTCCTTAAGATATTTTATCAATTGGAGTAAGACAGGGTTTCTCTACCTCAGCACCATGACATTTTGGACCAGATAATTCCTTGTCGGAGGGTGTTGGAGGGTCCTGTGCATTGTAGGATGTTCCACAGCGTCCCTTACCTCTATCCTCTAGAGGCCAGTAGCACCCTCATCCAGTTGTGACAATCAAAAATGTCACAAAATTGTCCCCCCGTTGAGAACCACTGGATTAACAGATCATTATGCTGAAATACTGAAAAATTGCAGACTCGGGCTCAAAATCATAATGTCATGTGCCATTTTATTTATAGATCAGTGTGGGCGGAAGTAGTGCCAGCCATCTTCAAGCTGTTAGGCTAGACTTGAAGTTCAGTGTAGACCTGCGCTCTCTGACACCATGTAATCTGTGCAAAAATACATGTGGGTGAGCATTGAACCAAATCTCACCTGTACCAGCAAACATCCTTTCTCTGCCTTCTACATCACATCTTCTATAATAGCAATGAAAGTGTCCTTTCTGTTGATGAATGCACTGATTTCCAGAATCTATTTGGAAAGGTATATGGAAGGTAAGTATTAAACCAAATAAAGCTGAGCCTGTCCTTGAAGGGATCTTCTAATGCTGCTTTAGGAGATCTCAGGCTATGGCGGTACTGCCCACACGCTAATACTCTCTACCCACTTAGCTCACTTCACAAGAGTCACCCCTAAATAACTTCCACTCTTCTATGTTCTAAGACTATTCTGACTTCACTTCCTCGTACTCACGCCTTCCCCTTTGGCTGGTTTAACTAACTTTATGATTTACTCTTCATAAAGTTAGTGGATCCCCTGCTTTTTTAAACCTCTCTTTGGCTTCCGCTAAGCTACCCTCTTTCCCTAAAGCCTCCCCTCCCCCATTGAAAGTTTGCATTTAATAACGGAAGTTGCCAACATCTTGACCTTCTTTCAGATATGACAATGGATGATGTTCGGGAATACGAGAAAAACATGCATGAACAAACCAACATAAAAGTTTGCAATCAGCATTCCTCCACTGTGGATGACATAGAGAGCCATGCCCAAACAAGTGTATGTAGAATTTTTAAAACATGTTGTCCACCCTTTACCAAACGTACACATAAACTGATCTTTGAAATACTGCGAACGCGCAATTCGCAAACTTCTTCCACAAAAACGTGTCATCAGAGGCTGTTGGTGAAGAAATTGAGTTGTGTCTGAATTGGACAGTGTCACCTCTTGCTTCCAGACATTTTGATTGTTTAAAGCCGCTTGACTCGCAGGTTGTTTTGGTCATAAAACCAAGACCATGGAGAGTGGAACCATTTTGGGGTCCCAGTGAACGGCCTGTACCATAAGAGAATGGAGGGGTCAAAGAGGATGTCACATGAGAACTAGGATATCGTGCCAGTAACTTTTAGAAACATAGTTAATACTCAGTTATTCATTAAAGGGAGGGCGTCTGGCCCATCTGGTATTTTAGGTTTCTTTACATTTGCTTTGAAATGCTTTCTTTGGCTCTTTATAGCTGTTTTACCCAATCAGTTCCTTTTTACTAGGTTAATGTCAAGATGGGGCTGCATACGTACTGGCTGCACAGTGAAGGTGTGGTGAGCTGAGACCGAACCAGAGCTAGCCCTGGACTTAAGACAGCCCCAGAGAGCCTTGGGTTATTTAGTGGCATGTTGGAAATTGCGAGATGGATGGACAGTGTATTGCCAACATTTTAAATATAGTTATATGGCAGGCATTCATGCTAATGAAGAGGAGATACAGGTGACAAAGTAAGATGTAATCTCTAAGTCCTATGTATCTTTGGCCAGAGCTGTGATCTCTTTGAATGCCAGCTTGAGCCCGCAGGTCTGTTAGCCCATGCCCCAGAATAAAACATATTCGATTTTTAAGAATTTGATAATGTAGTTATAGAAAATTGAGAGATGGCTATTGTTGTAAATGGATGCTTGGGAATTGTGAAGACCTTTTGGCTGCCCTTTGGAAATTTTTAGTTAGGTGTTCACAGCATGTCTTTGGCATATGCCATGCAAGGCTCCTGTGCTGCTGTTGGATGCATGTGACTGCCCTTGAGGTTGAAACGGCCCTAACCCTTCCGCCCCATTTTGCATGCAGTGATTGGATTTGCAGAAAACCGTTCTGACAAGACAGCTGAGGTGATGCTCTCTATGGACAGACCAAGTCCCATAGGACTTCCCCCTTCCTCTCTCCCTGTTCTCAAGTTAGAGATGCTCCTTATGGGAACTGTCCTTGAATTTTCATCGCTTTCAGTTACCTTTTCTCTTAGGAATGTTAGATTGTCAGTTTCCTCTCAGCCTTTCTCTGAAAGCTGCTCACTCTAAATATGATCAGACAGAGGAAGGGGGAGATACCATACATCCAAAAGATACAAAGCATGGTGCTTTGTCTCATTCTAGTACTTAGGGCTTTCAGCTTAAGGCTGTGTGCTTGGTTTTCTTTTCATTTTACTGTGATTATTAGTGTTAGAAGGTCAGTTTACCGGGTAGATGGTGATCCTTAGAATGGTTCTCCCTATGGGAAAGCCCGTGGATTCTCTGACTCCAACTCACAGGTGTTTCCATAACTTCAGCAAAAGAGATGCCCATCTCCCCAGAAGTTACAGAGTGGTTGTTTTGAGTGCTTACAACATTTCCCTTATTCTATGGAATTCCACCAAATTGGAGAGCATTTATTTTTCCATTGTCTGTCTTCTCTCTCATAATGAAAAACAGTTGAAATCAAGAGGCTGCTGTCCATTACAAATAAAACTGCATGGGTGCTCAGTAAAATATAATCATCAACCCAAGTAGGGACAAATGAGATTGAAATCATGCACAATTAACATCCATGAACACAGCAATAAGGAAATAGTCTCTTTTTCAATTGAGCAGTTTCAGTGCCTTCAAGGATGGGAACTTCTAAGAGACTCTGAAAGGGAGTGTAAAATCAAAATGCTATACTTTGGGCGACCTCTGCTCCCTGCTGGATGTATGGAGTAAAGCACTATATTCAGACACTTGTTTAGAAAGTCTGATTTTTTCCAAGATGACATTCATTTATTATAGCAGAAACATACTCCGATTTGCTGAAATTTTTTTGTCCCAATTTTATTTTGAAATAGTTGTTTTTAAAAAATCTTAATCTCATTTCTTAGCTTGTTTAATAGTCTTAGTATTTTTTTAAAAGTGGGCCGTTTACAGGTATAATTTTTTGTGTTATATTCTGAATTCTATATTATAATACATCAACACAGCCATACTTTTTAACTTCTTTTGTAAAACCTTTTCCTTTCAGAAAATTTTAATAATTGTTTCCAGGAAATCCTCTTAAGGCTTTTTTTTTTTTAATATCTTTGGTTTTCTCACATGTTATGATATGACCTGACATGTGTGTGTGTGTGTGTGTGTGTGTGTGTGTGTGTGTATATATATATATAGTATGCATACATATATCTCCCCTAATGATTAATACCATCTATGAATATTCATTCCATAGTTAATATTTCCAAAGTAGCTGTGTTGTTTCATGCTAGTTTATGCAGTATCATCTAGTGAAGTTTCAAGTACTAAATTCAAGAGTGAAAGATGGGTGTCTGGGAAGCTAAAGCAGAAAATCCATGAGCAGCAGATTTCACCGTTTACTTGAGGACAAACTCAGACCTTTGTTCAGCGTTTTTTCTAATAAACCCAGTTAACTGTTCTCCCGTTATCAGCAAATAAAAATAGCAAAGGAAACCAGGGATAGCTAGACTGAAAATAATTAGTCATAACCATAATGATAGTAATAATAGTAATAATAATAATAACAGACTTCCTGAGAATGAGAAAAGAAATATCAAACTATGAAAAGCAAATAGGCCCTGAGAAAGAAGTCATCACAGAATTAAAAGCAGCACAGTGATGTATTTTGTCGGAAAGTTTGTAAGTGTATATAATACATTAAATGCATTAGGGAAAGATTTACATTTAAAAGATTTTTTTTATTTTTACTTTCTAACGTAAGAAAGTTTCAGGTATTTTGGAAATCTACATCATGTGACAATGCCTGTTAAATGAGGCATCACTGAATTGATTTCTTGAATGCCAAATAATGCTTTTGCTTTTTCTTTTCAATAAAATTCTCACTCACAAATTATCCTCTCTGTTCTCTATTCTTTTCTATTTCCTTGAGAAATGGTTTGTTTCTGTTTTGTCTTGTTTTGGGTTTGAGAATAATTAGCAGGGTGTGTTGTTTTCATCATCTTACTTGTTTTTTAAGCTGACTATTAATTAAAACATGGTATCTAAACAATCTCAGGATGGATATACAGCTAGGAAACAGGCAACCCCTAGCATGCAAAGAAATGTATTTGTTGAATAAAAGGTGGCATGTGGAGAAATTCTGTTGATTTGCCTATTTACCCCATAAGGGTATATTTGTACTTTCCTAATCTAAAATAGACAGTAATATACATCATTTTGGGGTCATTCATTGCTCTCATTACCTTCCCTTTATAGGAAAGATGTCCAGGTCTAATAATAGTTCCATATACCACAGCATACCCATGACACACACGCCACACACATACACACACATACACACAGCTCTGGTCTGTACTACCGACCTGGTTTTATGCAGAATACTTAAAATACTCACTGAAGAGTGCTTTAGGAAATCTTGGATGAATATTCATAAAGGAATATTTTTTCAGAGGCTTGCCTCAATAAAAAGAAAGAATCCAGGGTTTAGTATTTCAATGATAATTTGGGTTTATAATCTGGAGGGGCCCCTTTATCATAGGGTTCCCACATGTCCTTTCAAACAGGCATAGCGATGAATCCGTGTGCATCTCTTCTAAGTCACTGCTCATTTTTCTCTCGATTTTTTCCTTTTCTTTGAAGACATGACAATGGATGAAGTCCGGGAATTCGAACGAGCCACTCAGGAAGCCACCAACAAGAAAATTGGCGTTTTCCCACCTGCGATTTCTATCTCGGGCCTTCCCCTGCTGCCTTCTTCAGTGCGTAGTGCGCCTTCTAGTGCTCCGTCCACGCCTCTCTACACAGACGCACCAGAATTTCTGGCCGTTCCCAAAGATCGGCCCCGGAAAAAATCGGCCCCAGAAACTCTCACGCTTCCAGACCCTGAGAAAAAAGCTACCCTGAATTTACCTGGCATCCACTCTTCCGATAAGCCATGTCGGCCCAAATCAGAGTAACTTCCTATGAATATTTCACGGGGTTTTATATTTTTGTTTTGGGCGGTTTTGTTTTTGTTTTTCTAGACTCTTCTAATATAGAAAGACTGCTTTGTCACTCAAACATGTTCCTTCGATCTCTGAGTGTGCATGTGGTTAAGTAATTTCACATATAATCTGATTCCCTAAATATGCCACACAGTGTCATATTAAATGTAAGATGTAAGACTTGCAAAGGACAGAAGGTATCAATCTTCTGTAGCCACAGCTGGAAGCCAGGGAGGTAACCTTGTTATTGGGCATTTGATGAGGTTGGTATGGACAGCAAGGGGAAATGAGTGAAAACTGTGTTACAAGGTGTGGTAAAATAGTGAAGTCAGTTTCCTCCCATCAAACCTGAAATTCTCAAAATTACTCTCAGGAGTAACATCCCTGATTGTCAAATTTTGAACTGCTCATCACCAATACTTGAATACCAATAGTTACTAAGATTCCTGTTTTGGTTAGTCTGACTCAGGATTTGGGGCCTAATTAACACTTTAAATTTTTTGAAAAGTTTAATTATCAACCTAAAGAGGCACCAAGTGCTATTAATTATTGATAACGTATTTGTACCTTTCACAGAATTTAATAAAGACTCCACTTGTTTCTGTCTTTTAATAACTTTCCCCTTTGTGCCCTCATGGCCTCAGAAATCTTAATTGCACCGGGAACGTAACCTTAACTGACTGATTTTGGAAGGGTTGGGTTAGGAACCAAGAGGCCGAGGTAAGGCAAATATCTTTTTTCTGTACAGGTACCAACAAACCTTAACTTTTCAGCGTCCGTCATCCATTAAAATTCTCAGAATTTGCAATTAATTGAGTAGAATTCATTAACTATTAGCCCATTCAAAGAAATTCAAGGGTGTAGAGTAAGCTAACTGGACTTGAACACTGTCCGAATGTCTGGCTTGGAAACCCTGAAAAACAGAATGGCCTCCCTGTCACCCTCCTGGTTTTATTTTTAATAAATTTTAATTTTTAATTAATTTTGAATAAGTTCATTTTAATCCAGACTTCTGGGAACAGATTGCCCATCACGGGTCCTTAGAAAAGACGTCATTGTTCCTTACTTGAAATCCAAATACTGGGAATGTCACGGAAGTTGAGGAAATACTGGCAAGTAAGAGGAGAGCATGAATAGAATTTGAAGAGTAAAAAGGAGTGATCAGAGATGCCCCTCTAACTTTCTTTTCTTCCAGTACTAGTAATGCAAGATTAGAATCAAGGTTGACAGGAGGCAAGATCATTCACCAAAGCGACAGAAGGAGAAAAATCTGCCACCTTCGCACCTCACTGCCTTTAAACGCAGCAGGAAGGGCAAGCAGAATCTAGCATTTACGTTTTTCCTCCAAGAGAGGAAGAGAACAAGGTAGGCGGGCAACTCCAAGCCCCCAGCTAGCCTTCCTGACCTTAACCTCCAACCTCAGGAAAGGGACCTTCCCCAAACAGATTCCGACAGAAATAAGGTAGACCAAGGAGGTGTTCTCCTCTCTCAGCCTTTCAGCCAGTGGACCCTGCCTGCTTCTCTCTCAGTGCTCAGCACTCTGCAGAGTGTCTTTCAAGTTGACAAATTCTCCCGAGGTGCAGGCCCCACCCCATGAGCCCCGCACCAAGTGGAAGTTATATGTCAGACTGTCAAGATCATTTCTTTATCTACAGGTTGGCATTTAGCTCAAAAAATAAGCCCAGACCTCAAGGAAAACCAGTTGCGAATAGCTTAGACCAACAGTGCATCTCTTCCCTAAGAATGACAGCTTTGTAGTAAGACATCTTTGCATGGTATGGTAGCATGATTTTTGCTTGTGGGAAAACTTAACTTGCATTAAACCCCTTGGACTTCTCAACGGCTCCCTCTCCACACAGTAGTACTCAACAAGAATGTTTGGCTTTAGAAAGCAAAATTCTATTTTCAGAAGACAGCGCTAGTATATGTATGTATTTGCAAGCTGAAATCAGGATGGGGTGGGATCATTTTTTGCGAATAGAATGGATTTATTTTGTGCAGGTTGTTAACACATCTGACACCTCGTTTTTCCATTCATACTACTTCTGTTTTCACTTTTTGTAAAGTAGCTTCTGCTATCAAGGTCAACAATGCCGTATGCTTTGGAAAGCTAATTTCTGATTTCCTTCTGTGAGTTTTCTTTATCTTGTAGCCAGCACAGTACCACAGATACCAATTACAAACTGCTGGTGATAGTGCGATTTTTAGCCATCAAATGTGCATTCTTAAAATCTGTTCAGTTTTCTGTCTCCCTGTGGTTTGTGTGCATTTAATAAAAGGGGGGGGGTGCGTATATTCCTTTAGCTGCTTTGCTTGCTTAATCCAGTCATCACAAGCATAAATGATGTCAATATTTTCTCTATCTTGGTTTTCAAGTGTCATTTTACATTCTCCATACACGAATTTGTCTGTTGTGGGATACAAGCCTGCGATGAGTGTGTATATAGAACATGAACAATTCCTATAAGGATGGACATTAAATGGCTGCATGATGGAAACTTAGAAGTAAAAAACAAAAGGCAGCAACTTGAATTCATTAAGCATGTTTGGGGGAAAATAGAATCTTTAACTCAGTGCCTCTGTCTGCAATGTGGAAATCTTCAACTTTGTTCACCAAAATTGTATTATACCTGTGTGTGTGTGTGTGTGTGTGTGTGTATATATATATATATATTCACCATACTATATTTATATGTATTGGTATATATATATATATATATATACCAATACATATAAATATAGTATGGTGAATCAGACAACCACCGGTTCATCTGGTAGCCAAATTAAATAACCCATAGGCTAACACATGCGTGCACACCATCTTCATCTCTGACTAGTGAAGACCATCAAAATGACTGTCCATTGTGCTACTTTGGATGGATTTCTAATATGAAATGCCCATGTGCTTTTCGTTGACTGTAGTACAGCCCTGCCGCTTTGACTGTGCTTTCCCAGGATAAGAAGGTCTCCGTGTTTTTACCCCATAAACTTTGTCAGAAGTTAGCTCTGAAGACCATTTCATTTTTCTACTTTTGGGCTGTAATAAGCAAAGGAAAAGCTTGAAAACAGGAGGCCATGACATTTTTCTGTTACCACCATTGTAACAGACAATATGCATTCGCTGGTGAACAAAATCTCATGGTTTTGCATCTGTGTCGGTGGGAAATGGTTTTAATTTATCTGGAGGTATTTATTAACCATGTATTCAATATTTGGTTGTGAAAAGAAATCTCTTAAGGAGCGCAGTTGTGGGTAGGTAACACAGACACTTAAACGCAAGACCCTCCCCCAAAAGTAATTATGTGGTTTTCTTTGAAGTCACTAATGAAGTTAGTGACCTAAGAGAAAAGATTCTGACATTTCTCAAGAAATCATTTCAAGGCTAATATATTTATGTGTATTTTTAAATTCTTTCCTTAGCATCTCTTCATGGCTCAGAGACAGCAAGGTCACAGATTTAGGTCAGTAGGAATTGTACTCTTCGGAAGGGTCCAATTTACATATTAATATAATGTGTACTCGGATAATCCAATAGACAAGAATTCTCTAAACAGTTTTAGTCCCTTTCTGATGGATCATCTGACTCAGTAAGCTAGTTGACCATCTGCCATCTGAGCCATAATTCTTGAAATTAAAAAATGTCTGTCCAGTGACTAACTGGTCATGGATAGACTATTTAAAAGTACGCATTCTTGCTGGAACTGAACTGCTACACAAGAGCACAGCACGGGCCTGGGGAGTAGCACATACCAGGTTCTTCTGTGTTCTACCTTCCAAATAATCTGTTTGCATTTGAAATGTAAGTGCTTAAGCTTTGCAGGACTTAGTGCAATAAGAGAATGTGAATACGTTGAGAACTTCCCAGATGCGTTATTAATTGTAATTTTGTTGTTAACAAATGCTTTAGGATAAGCCTCTTGGTGTTTCGTTTTGGTGGGGTTTTTTTGTTTTTTTAATGGAAAGCATGTCTGTTGAATTGCAAGTTGCCCTTCAGTTTCTGCGTATCCCCAAGAAGAGGTTCGTTGCGTTGCTGTTATACTTTATGCCACCTCCGTGGAGCTTCAAGTGTAATTTTTAGCGTTTACATTTCGAGCTGGGATCTTGATCGGCTGAGTTAGTCAATATACCACTGCCACAGCTAAAGGACCAAGTTTTGGGTTGCACAGTGTTACAGATTTACCAGCAAAGCAAACAAAAGTTGACCCTCACACATGCCATCGTTCTGTGTCATTTTATGGCTGTTTTGTGTTTTTTCCCCCAGTTATTTATTATTGTTAACTTACTTTTTCTTACATTCTATTGTAAATAAAGTACAAAGCAATCTTCTTTCCAAGTGTAGCTTCCTCTGTTTCTCTTTCTCAGCTTCTGTCTTAAGAGAACGCTGGCAATAGTGAGCTTGTGGGTTGGTGGGAAAGAAGCCATCAAAGGAGGAGCGGGCCAATGGCCAGTACTTAGACCCAGTTCCGGGGGATTTTGTGTGCAAGGAAGCCTGGCCTGCTACTAGTCCTATGGTGCCTCAGAGCCAAGGCCTTTGGGAGGAAAAGCCTGGGTTCCAGCTCTCACTACCCAGCCAGAAAATACCCAAGGTGAAACTGGAACCCCGTGGGGTACACACACACACAGACTCACCCACCCAACAGGTGCTTGGTTCCCTCTCATCAAATGTGAGTGACACCCAAGAAAAATCACCCTGAGGGAATCTGCAGGAACCATCCCAGTGGGACACCAGATTCTCCATTGCAGGGCAGGCCCATCTAAAGCAAGCAAAAGTCCCTCTGATGTGGTTTCTTCACCCCGAGCAGCTCCTGTTCACAAAAGTGTCCTCTGGGGACAGATAAGCTTTACTGTCCCTTGTTCAATAGTCTCAGAGTTTAAGCAACAGCACACCCCTCACTTCATGCTGTCGTCTTCCATCCTGAAAGGAATAACAACACCCACATCGTGTGTAGTATTCCCTGATTGTATCAGGCCATAGCTTCATATAACAGCCCCATAGCGAGGCTTACTCCTCTGAGAATGTCCCTAGAACCAGGTAACACTAATCCAATTAAGACACGCTTGCTTTTGTAGCTCCAACTTTGTCATTACCACTCCCACCCAGCCTTAGTTCTCTCTTTGAAACACACAAGCTTACAGTTGCTGACTGACTTTCAGGCAGCAAACTTGGGTATAGCAGGCTGGCTGTTTCTTCCTGGGGCTGAACTATAACAGGTTGTTAACATTTGAATACCTAGCGTTAAATATATAGATGTAACCCCCAGTGTCCCTGTACCGCTTTTCATCAGGGCGTTATCATTTGAGTGTTTCTAGTAGACTTCAGAACACCCACATTCTTTTCTAAAATTTCTTGTTTCCTTCAGTACAGTCCACTTGGGGCTCTGTGCCTCCAACTTCCAACTGCACCTCGGCCTCCCAAGTTCAGACTAAATCATGTATCATTTCTCCAAGCCCTGTCCTAAAATACTCCTATATGAAAATGTTACTCTCAACCCTGAAGCGTTGAGGGCCCTGGAACAACAACATGCTTGTCCATGTCCGTTCATGTGTGTGTGAGTGTGAAAGTGTGTTTGATTTCTTGTAGTTGATCCAGGCAAGCCGTTTTCAGGTTTGTTACACTGGCTTTCTGCTTAATTGTAAGCCCTCTAATGGTCCATATTCCCATAAATTCCCCCTTGTCTCCAGCATGCAATCTAGTAAAATAATCCCATTCAAGTCCAGGCATTTAACTACTGCTGCTGGGGAAATCAGAAAGGGTTTGGTACTTTTGCCTTAATGCTCTCGCCCTGGTCTCAGCATTGAGAACTCGAGCTACTATGTAGCCAAAGAAACTGGACATGGCCTCAGGTCCTAGTGATTCAGGCCATCCAGTGCAGCAGTGTTAACTGAGCTGAATGAAACCCCGAGAATTTAGGGGATAATGATGTTTAACAAGAAGTACCAACACTATGCACTGAAGGCAGACACAAGAGACTGGTGATGGTTCATTTTGCCTCCTTAACTCGTAGAAGGGAGATTTGGCCACTGTCACTTGAGGGTGTTTGAGGGCAGCCAAATCTGGACCTTCGTGATTTTTTTTTAAATTATATTCCAAAATAACTTTCCTGCTCCCAAGGGATTCTACACACAAGATGAAGCTGGCAGTTTTCTGCTTGTTAGCAACCCTTGAGAATCATTTTGTGATCTTAAGCACGCCAGTGATGATTATATCCAGAACATTCCAAAAATAGCTCGTTGTTCTCTGTATGCAGTGTGTTGCTAAAGTCAGTCCTTCAGTGCTAATGGGTTGTACCTCTTCTCAGGACACAGCTTGAAAATTTAGAAATATTTCTGCAAGCTTGAATTTTCCCACTCTCATCTTAGAAAGAGCTTCTATTTCTTCGCATTTTGTTAAAAATCTATTATACAGACCCGAGGAAGTGAATTTTCCTTTTCACCTTCAGTACTTTAGGTACTTTAGGCTTTGCTCTTCTATGGAAGATAACTCATATGCTTACCTTTCTACAAAATGCTTCAAGGATTTTGAATTGTTTTTATAAACACCTTTACACTTGGTATATAGCGTGTTTATAATTTTTCACAGCTATGTAATAGTCCATTGGGTTGGAAATCTATAGTTTATTTAAATATGCTTTTGTTATTTCACATTTAGGCTATTTTCTGGATTTTGTTATATAGAGTGTTGTTAGGAACATCTTTATAACATAGTTTATGTCTTCTTTTTAATTATTTGTTTGGGATAAGCTCCCAGAAATTGAATTACTGGGTGAATGGATATGAATATTTTTATGACTGGGTATTTACTGCCAACATCTCCAAAGAAAATTATACCTATTTACAATTCTACTGACAACGTATGAGTGAGAACACTTGTCTTTTAAAACAAGTATTTGCAGTTTTAAAAGTTCACTATTCTCAACTTGCTAAGCAATTGCTAGCATCCAATTTGTTGGTTTCATGTACTTTTTGGGTGTTTATGTGATGAAGGGCAAGCCCAAACAAAAAAGTTCTCTGATGCATTCAGGTGTTCAATACCTTCTGCAGCTTACTATGCTGCAGAAATGTTGACTGGCTACTTAGAAAAACAAAAGCATCAGGAACTGCATTTAGTTGAATGAACAAACATCAATTCTAAGTCATTTTGTTTTCATGCTTTCAGTGATAACAAATATTGAATGATGCATCTTTGCTTAAGGATTTCCTGAAAACCACCATATATGTGCCAACAAGTGTGTGTGTGTGTGTGTGTGTGTGTGTGTGTGTGTGTTTAACCAAGAGAGAATCAAGGTAAACACCCGAGCTCCCTTTTAATTTAGAATCAGTGACTTCCTGATTCTAACGGAACCTTGGTAAGGACAGAACGGAGTCCTTACTAAGTCATTTCACTTGTTGGAAAGAATGTGAGTGTGATGCATAGGTCCTCCAGACAAGGAAGGAACAGCCTGTACGTTCTTCCCCGCTTGAGCCCTGTGAGAGCCATTCCTGAGGAAGAGTGAATTCCCCCTCGAGGAGAATGAGTGGTCATTTCTCACATAGCAAGGACAAAGTATAAAATTTGCCTTCAAGCTAGTTTGGAATCTAACTGCAGTCTGTGTTTTTTGCTGTCAGTCGTTGTGTATGTATGTTAACTTCTTATTTTTAAATAATTGTGGATCCACAGAAAGTTACAAAGACATGTATACAGATGTCCTGTCCACCCTTCCCTCAGCCTCCCCAAACAGTTTGTATAACTAGCATACCATATCACAGTTCTTTGGAGCAACACGACCTATTATTGTCAGAATATAAAAATGTCAAAAACTTTTTTTTCTGATCTGTTAGTTCTAATTTACATCAAAATGAAAAAGCTTTGTAATAAGACACTGTCCTTAACCTGATGATTGGCTTTTGAGACAGATAAATACACAGAGGTTCCCCTAGGAAGACCAACATTTTGTTAATTGGATTTGCTAAGCAGTGCTCCACTACCACTCTTCAGTGATTTCTTTTACATAAAATTAAACCAAGCACACCTGAAGAAACATACATATCTTAAACATGAGCACCTTCAGTTTGGATCCAAACATGAATCAATTATTTTGAGGTTTTTGGTGAGTTCCTTCTTCCTCTCCCCGTTGTGTCTTCCTTGAGTCTTGCAATGAAAACCAAGGAAAAACAGATTACAAAGGAGAGTATCTCAAAGTCTCCTGAGGGGACAATCTGAGAGTCTTTCTTCCGAGAGGGAGCACTGGAATATAAAGGGGACCCATAAGACTTCACATAGTATGCTGCTTTCCCATGCGGAGGCATTTGCAATTTTATTTTCCTCTGAAAGGTGACCTCCAGCTCAAACATCTGAGTTTGTTTGTTTGTTTGTTTGTTTGTTTGTTTTATTGGGGAACTGTGTTTTTCCAGGACCCATCAGCTCCAAGTCAAGCAGTTGTTTCATTCTAGTTGTGGAGGGCGCAGCTCAGTGGCCCATGTGGGAATCAAACTGCAACCTTGGTGTTATGAGCACTGCGCTCTAACCAACTGAGCTAACCGGCCGCCCCCAAACATCTGAGTTTTTAATGATCTGTACACACAATGGCTCCTTAACCCTGGTCCCAGCCACCATAATGCCTGTCACTGGGTCTCTAACACCTACCCTTAAACTCAACTCCCCAAGCCCCACCCCCACTGAGACTGTGGGAAGCCACCACCCCTTGTCTGGGTGCTAGCAAATAAAGATGTCTTCCTAACATCCCATCTGGAACTCTAAAAATGCTTTCCTATTGAACCATCACTGAAGTTTCTAATACTAACATAAAGGTGATACTGACAATCTTTCTTCAGCTGCACTGAGAAGGTTTACTGGTCCAAGTGAAAGCCCTAAGGGCTAAGGAGGGTCCTAATTGCATTGGATGTCTTTAATCCACACACACCCTCATATTTACTCATCCTAAACTTACAAACTGAGGACCTGGAGACATGGGGTGAAGGGGAATAATTCACACATAGTTGAATCTGGGACTAGGCAACACCCACCTTTCAGTAGCAATTCCGCCAAGAAGCTCACCAGTACCCACCCCAGGCCACCCCATTTGCCAGACCTAATAGAGTTTAGGGGTAGAGAGTGTTTAAGCAGCCTCAAACCTCCTCCTCAGTCCCATCCCGAACATATTGAATCAAAATATTAAGTAACCCTTTTCCTAGGCTGACCTGGGTACTTTATCTTCAGCCTGCATTCCCTCCCTGCCACCCTCCTCCCCCATGGGAACTGGTTCACAGAACTAATCTATGCTTTAGTCCTCAGTCCTCATTCTGGCACTGGTACAATTTATACTATAATCCAGTACTGTCTTTTATTTTCCTTCC